AATGGCTCAGCTTTCGGTTTCTAGCCCCAGCTCTACCATCAATTCATTCAGTGAGTGAGTCACTTTGTGTGTCTGTCTCCATTTATCCATCTCTATGGTGGGAAGGAGACCAATGTCTGTGTTGTGCATCAGTATTGCTCCAGTGCTCAGACATACTGTGCAGACAGATGCTGCATGGCCTATGGAGCTGAGCAGGGCTCTGGCTGCAGATCAAAGTTTCTAGTTCAGAGGAACTTTCTCCTCACACACACTCCATTTTCAAATTGAACCAGAGCAAATCTAAAAAATATCTGTTTGATAGAAGATTTGCAAGGGAATCTCGCAGTGACTGAGGCATCAGGGCAGACTGGAACCCCACCTTGGATTTGGCAGAAGCCAATCAAAGCCAAAACTGAACTGACATCATGAGCTGGTACTCTCCAGCAAAAAAGAGATTATTTTTCTTGGAAGACTCACAGGCTGCTGATCTTGGATCACCTGTTGCCTTGTTTCCCTTTCTACTCCCTTTTTAGATTATAAGTTATTCCATACAATGAGCTACTAAAGAGGACATAGAGGCACCTCACCTGAAGCACTGGTCTCTCCAGAGCATCACCCAGGAAATACAAGGTTTCTACAGTCCCAGCTTGCTGAAGTTGTCCTTTCACCATGACAGTGATCTGTGATGGGAAAGAAGGACAACTTTGGAGTACTGCTACTAGCTCTCTGCTCTCACTGTGTATGGCCAGCAAAAAGGCAGCTGATAGCTTCCCTGTTCAGTCTTCACTCATACCTTTCCTCCCTGCCCTGTTTCCAGGTTTCTTAAAAGGCTATGTGGGAGTAGCAGTGTGTACAGACACTCACTGACAGCATTAGGATGGAGGAATCAAATGGAAAAGCTGGTCTCCTGCTATCTAGTCGTGTTGCTGAGAGTTGCATAAATGTCTGTTTTCACCTCAAATTGCCTGCCAGAGGCAGCAGACAATCACACCTTTCCTGTTACTGAATGGTCTTGCAGATACTGGGAGCACTGGAGGACTTGCAGCTCCAACATGTAAATTTACGAGAATTGGCAAAACTTAGATATTCACTTTAACATAACTGTGACAGTGTTTAGCACTACACTGATTTACTACTTGAATACTGACCAGCCGGCAGACCAGCTCTCAGCCTTCTGGCTTCAGCAGCATAGTACCCTCTCCTACCAGATACACCCTCAGAATGAAATCTTCACTGCGAAAAGCTCCTCTGCTTGACACTTTCAAAGCAATCTAAGAGCGTTTAATATTTATAAATAGTGAGGATTGCTACCCTGCTTTGGCATTCGTTATAGGTGTAGTGAATCAAACCTCCAGCATAGGCGGAAACTGCCTTGAGCTGAAACTGAGCAACTGTCTAATAAAATATAGTCATGAGATGAATAGAAGCTGTATTGCTGAAGTGCCCTGAGCATACTTGAAAGATTTATTCCCTGGCTTCATCTGGAGGGCTTTCTAATAGGGAGGATATGACTCCCTGTGTACATACATCTATATGGGTGAGAAAAAGATTTCAAGTTTGGAGACGGAAAAAGGGCATTTACACTTTTTGAGGAGATGCCACAGGGAAAGCATTCTTTATTTTACATGGACTGTTACACAGCTGCATTTCCTGTAAGAAAACAGATGTGAGTGCATCTTTCATGGTCTTAAAGTCAAATGTGCCTTACAGTTGTGATACACATAGAGCAGTCAAAGCTGGAATGTCTGAAGACCGCACTGTGGGGCCTTGGACCACAGATGGGGAGAGCTCGTATTTGAGCTCAGATATGGAAAAGGCTGCTGGAGAGGGTGTAATGCAGCTTCAGAGAAACATCTCCAGGTTCTGAATAAGGTGAGATCAGTAATCTTTTCATGCCCTCTGTCATGGTTTAGCTCAGCTAGCAACTAAACACCGTGCAGCTGCTCACTCACCCTACCCCATCCCCTTGAAGCAAATTAAAGGAGAAAAGGAAGAGACCCGTGGGTTGAGATAAGAACAATTTAATACTACTACTACTACTATATGAATATATATATATGTGTATAATGATAATAATACAGATAGACAAGTGATGCACAGTGTAATTGCTCACCACCTGGTGACCAACATCTGTCCCGTCCCTGCAAGTGATCCCAACACTGCAATCCCAGATAAATGAGGCTGAAAAACGAGTGAGAAAGAGAGGGGAGACTGAGAGTGAGAGCCCACAAAGAGCAAAGGCCCTTCTTTCCTGTCAACACTCATCTCTATACTGGGCATGACGCTACATGATATGGAATAATTCATTGGTCAGTTTAGCCCTTAGTCCTAAGTCTAAGTTCAAATCATAAGAGGAGTTGTGGACCCTTTGTCCCGGCCATGCTCTCCACCAGCTTGTTGTGCTCCTGCGTACTGGTAAGAACACAGGAAGCTGAAAAGTCCTTGGTGTCTTGGTGCCTACTATAACATCAGAGCACTATCAACATTCTTCTTATAATGAATCCCAGAATAAAACCAAAACGCAGAGATCTTCTAGCTGCTGAAAAGAAGGAACTCTGTTCCAGCCGAAGCCAGGACACCTCATATCCCTCCGACTTGTATGGCAGTCTTATCACACATCTTTTCTGTCTCTATCAGCTGCTGTTTCTCTGTTGCTCCTAGGGTGCTTGCTCCAGAGGCTGGGGGTGGAGAGGAAGATTAGGAAAGAAAGTTCCTGGGATTCTTGTCCTCTCTCTTTCTAGGTTGGATATATAAAGCAGTGACAATGAATGAGCAGAGGAAGTGTCCTGTTGCTGGCAGCCAGGAAGCAGAGCCATCTTGCAGGGATCTTTCGGCAAAGTAGTTCCGACTCTGGTTTAGAGGGGAACAGAGCCTGTCTGGTTTCCTTCATCTTCTCCTATCAGCTGCTATTTCTTTAGATATAAACAATGAGATGATAAAGCACTTCAGAAGAGTTTCCACCACTGGAAACATTTCTTTGTTACCCCACAGGATTTTAAGTTTTCTCATAACTTTGTTTCATTTTTCAAGCTTGCAATGCACATCCTAAGTGCTGCATCTCCCTTGTCCACCTCACTTTGAAACACCTTGTTCACAGGCCATGCTGACATTAAGGTTGTCATGCCAGGGTAGCTAGGCTGACACAGTTAAGTTAATGAAGCCATCTATACCCACTGTGTTTACTTGCTAGAGGGCTTTCACTAAGGTGGTTTACTTAAAGTGTGCTTCCTCAAGCCTTCTTTACTGGTTGAAGTCTTTCCGGTAGGAGTTATACTGCAATATTTTTCCTCAGTGGTTGACAGATCATTACTCCCTTCCTATGGTACAACTTGCACCTTCTTGATGCAAATCATCTTGATGCATATCACCTCAGAATTGGCCATGCTGATGACTAGATCCACCTCCTCCAGACAGCAACTCATCCTGTTCTAAGTGACTTATTTGAGCTAAGTAGGAATAATCATCCTCTTGTGGCATCTCTCTCTCTCCCCCTCTCTAGGGAATGTAAAACTAGTTTATTCCAGCTCCGTAATTTTCAGATGGATACATTTGGGTGAGCCCACTCCTAGCTTTAACCTTGCATTTAGACTCAGCTCTAATATTACAGTAAGAAGATGAGTATATAGTGAGAGAGTTAGTTAGCCACCCTCTGCTTGAATTATACCTTTTGTCATCTCCTTGGCATGTGAAATACTGTCTTACATTCATGTGCTGTTCATATGGGAGTAACCTGAGGCAGTCTGAGCACAGGAAAATCTGTACATGTAGGAAAATAAGTGGAGTTGCCTTAAGCAAGACAACCTTATTTGACCCTCCTCCTTCCTTTACAGCTGGTGTTACTTGAAGCTGGGACAGAGAAGAATGAGAGGACTGAGGCTAAGACCAGACTTTGGCATGAGACAGACAGGAGTTGAACAGGTTTTCTCCATGCCTTACTGCCAGTGCCCATTAATTCTGAGCCACGATGCCATTCCAGCTCTTGGTCCTTTCCCTTAAGTCTTCTATTTATACCTTCTGAGCTGGAGTCTCCTTTCTTATGTGCCAGTTTTACACCAGTGTAAATTCATGGATGCCTGTGGATTTGTGCCTGGCTTACACTTACCTATAGAAGAAGAGAATTCGACTCATCACTTCTAGGCACCAAATGGAGTATCCCCTATCCCTTGATTCTGCTAAACACTCCTTGTGTCCCTATTCTCATCAATCTGTTTCAACACACAGAACCCTGCTGTTTTTCCAGTGCCATGTTCCCATAAAGCACCCCCGGGTGCTGCTGCTGAAGCTATGCCAGGGACCGTACCTACCTGCAGCTTCCTTCTTGCTTGGTCGCTCTGGGATAAACACTTCCAGTGTTGTCTTCCCTGGGGCCAGTGTCAGCAAGGAGATGTCTATCAGTAGCCCTTTTGTTCAGCATCACCTCTCAACATTCAGCCTGGAGTACCGTTGAAGAGAGCCAGTTGAGGATTTGGACCTCCCTGTCCTCTGCACTGGCCAAACAGAAGAGAAGGCCAGGTCTTGTGTTGCAGAACTGACGTCTAACTGTGGCATTATATGTTCTTAATAAAAGAGTGATTATATGAATCACAGTAGCAAAATGTTCTTGCAGAGCACATGCCCCACTCCCTGACTTAAGTGTCCAAGGGCAGCTGTACATCATTCCAGAGGAGGCTTTTGCCTTAGACATGGGTTAGCATATAGCTCCCTGTGTTGCAGAGGAGTAGCTACAGAGATGGGATTCAAGAGTGTCCTTTAATGAAGTTACTTGTGGCTGTTGATTGGACAAAAATAAATTCCAACTGGCCCATATAACAAATGAAACTCAACTACAAAAATGTAACGATATTTATTCACACAGCTGCCAGCAAACTCACATGCACCATGAGTCATTCCAGATGTGGATAAAAACAAAGTCTGTCTGTGAAAGTAAGTTTCCTGATCCCGAGGAGACTTGGTTTGGGAGAAGAGCTGCACACTGACTTCAGCTGTACTCAGAAGAACTGACAGGTTCTCCTTTAAAGGGGGAGGGGGAGAGGAAAAGCCATTTATTTATTCCTGAAAAGAAAGGAAGGTAGGAAATTAAAAAGCTACTATACAGCTAGATATACGTGTTTTAAAGAGAAGGATGTTTTGGAAGACTTTGCTGCTGCTGCTGTTCTATTACAGTGCTCATGCCACTGTGACCCACAGATGGAGCAGAGGTAAGATTTAAACACGAAAAACTATTTAAGAGAAAACTTTGAGTTTGTGGATTGGTCTGAAATTATGTTTCATTATACATATATAGACATATGGCTAAAATTTGTCCCTTTCAACTCTAGAATTACTTTTCTCCATTAAACAGGTCAACTAAATAATTATATAGACAAATAGAAAAATACACATACATAAGTCATAAAGGTAAAATTATATATATATATTCTGTTATAATATAAATATATATATAAAATATCCCAAGAACCAAAACTACATTATTTTCTCACTTTTTCCTTTCTCTCTCCTTCTCCTTTTTCTCCTGCGTTAACAAAAATTATACATCATGAAATCTTAAAACAAAAGCCTTTGCAGTCACAAGTGGCATAATCTTCTGCTCCACCAGGCAGATTCCTGGTACTAGTAAACGCAATAATGCCTGGATTGTGCAAGGTTCCTAGGAATGTCTATGACCCTACCCTGACAGATGAGCACATACAACATGGAGAAAGCTACCTGCAGTGTTATCAGGCTTCAGCTGCCAATATGACAATATCTAGTTGTGACATATTTGTATTCAAGTGTGTGACAGCACATATGAAATGGTTTGAGACTATTGGATTGCATAGGAGATGCTTGCTTAAAAGTTAATGATTGTGTCCTTTCTCTTTTTTGTTTTATTCTCTCCTCTGGTATTTGGCACGGGTTCGGTAGCTGCTGGAAGTGAAGAAAGGAAACACTTCCCAAAAGATTTCTGTGGTTCTGATATTGAAATTCACAGATATTTAAAGGAACCAGAGTCTGTTAAAAAAATTCAAGCATTCAGATGTCCCCCTCCCCACTCCAGTCTCCCATATTCTCCTCGTTATAGCTGGTTCCTTTCTAGTCTGCTATTTGGGTTTGGTTTAGATTTTGTAGGGGAGGCAATGACTGAATGAAGCAATGAATTCTGCTAAGGCTGTATAAGTGCTTAATCGTGACTTACAGTTAGTGGGGGCTCACTGGTAGGGCATTGACCTGGAACTCAGAATGGCAGGTTCCTTCTCCAGCTTTCCTATCAGCCTCTTGGATGACACTGAAGGGTTATTATACCTCCATGTACCTTACTTTTCTCTTACTGTATAACAGAGGTAATGACACCAATGGTCATCATAAAATCCCTTAATTCTGTAGATAAGAGTTTGTCTTTCCAGGGATGACACATAAAAAGGTGAGAAAATTAAAACTAGATCTGTATATATGAAAAAAAAACAACCTTATCTTTTGGAAGAATGAGGTCATCTTACCCATGAAACACACACACACAAAAAAAAAGAAACCAACAAACATAATAAAACAAACATAAAAAAAAAAAAAAGAAAGGGGTTCATTTCCATGGAATAATCACTATCCAATTTAAGGATTTTCTTCACTTTTGCTAACACACTTATTTTAATTAAACAACAACACAACCCTAAAAGGAATCCATGCAACTATTAAAGTCCAATTTTAATCACCATGAATATTTAAAGGAAAACATCAGAACTGTTTTGTGCCTTTGGGAAAGCAGATTGTTTTCATGTTGGAAGCTCTAGAGCTTGTTTTTGGAGCCTTCAGAGGGAAAAGAAGATTCATTCCCTGTTGTGATAAGGAGGGCAGTTCTCACAAATATTGTACACAGACATCTGCTGAGGAAGAAACCAGCTTTCTTGTCCACAGCTGTCCAGACTATTTAGCTCCAAATATGTTTTAGAGGCATGACTCCTTCAACAATAGGTACTTCAGAGAACCTCCAGTCCCCTAAGCTACATATGTGTCAGCCCAACCAATTCCGTCCTAATCTGCAGTATCTAGAGGGCCAAAACACTGTCTTAATTTTTGAATTGCCTAGAAATTTAATGGGAAATTTGAGTACCAAGATATGACACATCCTTCTGCACACTCAGAGTCCTTCCCTCCCTCCACAAAGACAACCAGCTCTCAACTGGGTTAAAACACTGTTATTTAAGTCTTATACAACTCATGATCTGAGTTTTGCAATGGAAAAGCAAAGACAGATCAGCATATGGTCTGATGGAAATGAAAGACAGATCTGCATATCATCTCCTTGTTGACTAGTAGTCCAGATTGTTTACAAAACAGTAGGACAAAGGATCCTGCTTTAATTACCAACAGTTGTTGTTTGCAATAGAAATGAACAGTCAGTATTGGATAAAACAAGGTCTACTTCTTACTGTTTTTTCACTAGGGGGCACTGGGGCAGCCTTGGATGCCCAGCCCCTGTAACCAAGTATTTAAGCTTTGGCTCAAGAAAAAAGTCAGACATGAGGAAAGATGAACGTACTTGTGCTGACTGGTGAGTGGAAATTTTGACTGCCACCTCCCTTTTCCCTTCGCTTTTATGAGCATCAGTGAATGGAAAAAAAATCCCAAACATTTCTGGGAGGAAAAATGAGCTTTTTTTTTTTTTTTTTATCTTTTTACTGCCTCAGCCATTTGCATTAAAAATTTCACACATTCCTCAGCCTGCCTAGATCCAGCTGTGGACATTGGTCCAGAAGTCACAGGCAAAGCTTGATCCCTAGGATGGATATGTTCAGAATAATAAAGAAAAGATCCTGAGCAGTGACAAAATAATTTGCTTGTCATGATCTCAGGTTTCCTTGAGCTTCCTGTAGGCTTAGCTGTATGGTGTTACTCTCTCAGATTTTGTGAATCACCTGTTTAGGGAGGAAAGGTAATGTTAGGTCTCTACCGAGTGATATTCCCTGTGTGATGGTAGAGGTGAGGTCATATTAATTTCTGAAGGTCCCAAATAAGAATTCCAGATCTTAAGGAACAAATCCTGTTCTTTGACAACAAAAATAAACAAAAAAACCTCCATGCAGCTGTAGTAACTGGAGACAGTGTCACTGCTTGCAACCTGGTTGCTTTCATCAAACTGCTTCGAGGAGTACCAATATCTTGGAGAGCAGAAGTTAGCTTCAGATCTGCATTAAAAGAATTGTCTGTTCCCTGAGGAGAAACCCTAAGGCAATCCTTATCAGCGTGTTTCGTCTCAGCTGGCTGTAACTTATTTGCTGTAAGGGCTTTCTCATTTAAATAAATGGCACACAAACAGTAGCATCCTGGCTACATGGTTGCTCAGGGAGTGAAGATGTGGTACGATTTCTTATGTTTATGGCTTCTTGGGGAAGCAGTTGAGATAGTAAGTTTGCCTCTCAGTGGAGGCTGGAAAAGGAAATGTTGAAAGACACAAAATAAGTAGGTAAAACTCTTTTTACCTATCATTGGGAAAAGCATGTATTGTCTATATTAACACCACTGAGGTTTCATGCTTTTGGGGAATGGCTGTGCTGTGCCTTCCGGACCTCAAAAGCAGTATTACAGTCTCATCCAGATCTATCTGTCCACATGAATTATTTTGTACCCAATATCTAGTGCTCGCTGAAAGTCAAATGGTTGTTCCGGAACACCAGGGGAGCAGCTTGTTCTCCTTAGGGGCTTTCTGCAGAAGGAATTACTTGGAAGAACAGAAGGCCCATCTTCCTTGATTTCCCCACAATTGTGAAAACTTTTAGCATTTGCTCTAGTGTTGTGGCAACTGAGTTTGTGAGTTTGATGGAGCAGCTGCTATATGAGCAGCTTTTGCAGGCTGCTTCTGCTTGTGGGCTTAGCTATAGCAGGCTGGCAGGTCTCCAGTGCCAGGAGAGGGAGGACTATGTAGAAGAGAAAGAGAGACTGGCTGTTGCTAGAAAGCCAGCCAGTCCTTTTGTAAGAAAGCAGTGCATAACATATTCTATACTCTGTGATCATTTGCCACATACCAGGTTGCTGGTGATATTACTATGTGGGGAAAGGATGAGTGCCTTGGAGATTAGGGCATACACTGCATCTCCACCCCTTTTGACCTTACTTGCCTTTCTTCCCCCATCATCTCATATTGCTTCCTTAAAGCCAGGCACTCTCTTCTCCAGCAACTTCTGGGATTCCACCACTGAGAGTAACACTTGTTTGACATTTTTGGCTTGGAAAGCATAAGCAAAGGGAATGTGGCCTGACCATAGCATCTAATTACAACACAAATGGTCAAACACATATACACATATATGCCCAGCAGGCCTTCAGCATACAGGTTATGGTCTTGGCTTATGTAGGACATGCTGAGATTTCCAAAGATCTGGTCCAAGGGTAAAAAGAAATTACACCAGCTGGACTGGCTGCAAGAACGTTTTAAAATGCAACATCTATTTAACTTCCCTTAATTTCCATAAAGCCATTGTTATCCAATTCTTAAAATACGTAATGCACATAAAACAATGAAAGATATGAAATACTATGAAACAGAGCCAACTCTGTCTAAGCCTGGCTGCATAAAGAATGTTTCTTCTTATGGAGAAAATGCAATATTTCCCTTTTCTCTGGCTCCCACGTGAACAGTTGGAAAATTGCCTCGACTGCCTCAACTTCCCTGCTAGTTGGACCTATTTCAGTGCAGAGGTTTTTCCCACCTACTCCGAGTCTGATCATAAGTCTGTACTAGTTCCTGGGAATGCATGTTAGTAGGTTAGAGTCTCCTGGTCTGGGGGTTTACTTGCCTGATGCAAATTATTACGGCACCAAGTTTTGTAACTGTACCTGTAAAGAGAGGAGGCATTGCCTGAAGGGCAGTCGGGGATTGAAATTCAGAGCTACTAGATGCTTAAAAACCAAATTGTCCTACACTGTAAGTGGTAGAAAGGAGGCATTGGAAGAATATTTTCTGCCTTTAAGAAATTAGAAGAAAGCAAAGACAAAATTATGTTTTCAAGCAGGTCTTGAAAATGTTTGAGAATGAACAAACTAAGGAGTCAAGTGGGAGATCTGCATGGGACAATGGTGCATGGAACAGAGACAACAGACCCAGGGCTGAGGAAACCTGCCTGTCTTGCACATCACAGAACAGTGCAGGGACTTCAGGTGGTGTCCCAGCAGAGTGACAGTCACGTGCATGGTATGTGCCCAGGGGAATGAGCTCTGCCTTTCAACA